AGTCATCTCCACTCCCCCCAGTCTCTACCAAACTTTCTTCCCTTGCCATTTGCCTTTTTCCTTCTTTCACTTGCTCACATTTTGCATTCAGTGGGTCTGACTGAGCTGTGCTCCTTTATTTTCTAATCTTTTGACCTCTTCATTTACAGGATGAGGGAACAGCTTGTAAGTCACAGAGACTTCCAGAGAGAAGACTAGGACTCTATAAATAGAAGGAGCCTCACGGTGACTCATTACTAGATTTGATGCGTTTTCATAACTGCTAGCCAAGAACTGTGTTCATCATTTTTCCTGAGGAATTATTAGAGAAGTTTGTGAGAATTAGAAATTCTTATTTGATTTTTAGTTTTGCTTCTGTCATTTTAGCATAAGATCAATGTAGGGTAATTTGTAGATTCTCCCTGCACTCATTTTTTATACCATCAATTTCTGTTAACGTGATGTCTTCAGTAATAAGGTTATTCTACTAACAGGCAAAATATGTTGTAAAATGTGTGGAACTGAATTTGGGAAACTGAATTTGGGGCACATTGCCCAAAGTCCTCGATATCTGGCTCTGATTTTTCAAATTTATAAAGCAAAAGTACAGGAATAAAGTAAATTGTAACATATATTTCTGCAATAAGTTATATGATAACAATACTGATATTCTGGATATGCTTGAAATGAACTATTTGAGTATTGTTCTATATCTGAATTATCTGAAAATCACAAAAACAATTTTTTTACAAATTATCTCTTACATTATATGCAACTATGTAAGTTATAGTTTACTTAATGATTTGGAGTTTGCCCATATATTTTGGTTATATCTAACAAATGATCTTAGAATTTAGTGGTTTAAGGTTACAGTTTTATTTTGTTCACAGTTTTGCAAGTCAAGCCTTTGGGACATGAGGCAGCAGTGCCATTTTAGCCTCAGGTTCTCAGTCAGAATGTGGTATTTGTTGGCTGGTACACGTATCATCTGAAGGTTTCACCAGGCTTGGTGTCCAAGATGGCTCATACTCAAGGCTGGTAATTCATGCTGAGTGTCCTTTCTGACACCTCATGTTGTTTTCAACAGAAGCACCATGTGGTTTGCATTTCTCTTCTTAGCTTCTGGATTCTTTCTATAAAGGTATAACCTGAGAGGGAACATTCTCTGTGGTCATAGTGGAAACTGAATGGCCTTAACTCCAAGAGACATGCAAAGTTACTTCCTTCATATTCTGTTGGTCACTCAAGTCTATAAGAACAGTCCAGCTCCAAGGAGGAGAGGGACACTAGATTCCACCTTTCATTATGAATAGCAGCAAAAGATTCTCAGCCATCTTTAGTCTACTACATTGTGTTCCATATTTATGAATAATTATTGAATTAGGAAATAGTTGAATTGAATTTTATTCCTAAAAATTAATTATACTTGAATGAGAAACAGAAAATGACATAATTATTATATTTTTCTAACTGTGAATAATGTGCATTTTGAAAAGCACAAAATTAAACTGGTTACATTGGCCTGTAGGTTAATGGAATAACCTTATTTTAAACCCAAGAATATTAAAATTCTGATAATTCTACACATAAATGATTTATGGTTTAATAGATCATCCTGCCAAATATGATCTAGAATATTTCAAATATAATAAGAATATTGAGGGTATATTGCCATCAGCCTTCCTCTGAGAATAACCATTGTTAATTGTCTTTCATTTTTCACGTTAGACAGTTATGTACATGGTGCCACATGTTTATATAACAGCTAAAAGCAAAGTGTGGGGTCACTGTAATTCATTTGCAAAGTCATTCATAAGTAGGCTCTTATAAATTGTCTTCTGATAGCATATAATAAATAAAATGTCATTCCATAAATATAGATGACGTACCCAAATTTGCATATACCTGACTTAAAGTTGTAAGATTGTGAACTTCTTGAAAAACGACCATGGGAACAGAATCTGAGAATTTTTGAAGTGAACATATCTTTGGAAAACTAAGGTTCTTTACAATTCTGAATAGTCTCAATTTAGGCACAATGTCCATTTTCAACTAGTTAATCAACAATATGTTAATTCATAGAGAAATGCTGTTGGTAATCACTAAAAAACAGTTAGGGTCATTTTTGGCTGAGTGTCAGATCCCAGTTCAATAAAGGCTCACTGTTCAGCTGCAAGCTCTGTGATTCATTGGCCACTTCCAGCTGTTTGCTCTTTCGGGAGGTGCCTGGGCATTCCAGCTGAAGCCAAGCTCATCACTGGATGATCTGAAACAGCATCTGAATGAGGTAGTGACATTCGAGCTGTGGCTCTTTGTCACATGCTTTTCAAGCAATGACAGGACAGGGGCCGGCTGCAGGCACCTACCCACTTTCCATCAGCGTGGGGTTCCTCAGCAGGCCATATGGACTCTGGAGTGCCTCCTCTAGCTGACAGTAGGACTCGCAGTCCTGCGCACTCTCACTGGATCTTGACGCCTTCCCTTTTTCTCATTTCTTTCCCCTCCCCTACTCCAATAAACCTACTAGACCCTTTTTTTTCTTTTTTCTTTTTTCTTTTTTCTTTTTTCTTTTCTTTCTTTTTTCTTTCTTTTTTTTTTTTTTTAATAGGCAGAATGGACAGTGAGAGAGACAGAAAGGTCTTCCTTTTTGCCGTTGGTTCACCCTCCAATGGCCGCCGCGGCCGGCACACCGCGCTGATCCGAAGGCAGGAGCCAGGTACTTATCCTGGTCTCCCATGGGGTGCAGGGCCCAAGCACTTGGGCCATTCTACACTGCACTCCCTGGCCACAGCAGAGAGCTGGCCTGGAAGAGGGGCAACTGGGACAGAATCCGGCGCCCCGATTGGGACTAGAACCCCGTGTGCCGGCACTGCAAGGCCGAGGATTAGCCTCCTACTAGACCCTTAAGTCCATCTCAGTATCTGATTCTTGGAGATTGAAACTGTAACAATATTTTATTTCATGAAGGAGATTAAAATTTCTTAAGTGAGATATGATGCAAGAAGTTGAGAATATAAGGCTAATATGAAGTAGTTTTGCCATTGGGTAGATTTCAGTCCTGATATCATCATCAGCCTCCACAGATATTTCTATGGTGTGCTAAGAGGTTAAATAACTAGCACGGAGCCACATAGCTTCTAGCTATCTGCAGATTCAAGGAATTGATGCTAAGAAACGTGATTATATGCTCCTAAGTGTGCTTATTTTTCCTTTGCATTATGGAGAAAGTTGAAACTTTTACTATTCACAGTCATATTTTGAATTTGTAAACATAAATATTAAAAACAATGAGTATAGACTTGGCACATTAAAACCCATTATTTAGAAAAGAAATGTATAATTCAAAAGAAAAAAAATAATTATTATCTCCCAGTCAAGCTGATCATTGAAAAGTCAAAGAGATATTAATGAATTTAAACTATGTTTTGTATTGCTGGGTATAAAGGAGGAAGAAATTATTAACGCCATGAAAACTAGAATAAACAATTTTTTTTTCTATTCAGTTAACTATTTTCTTCCTTAACTCAAATAAGGGTAAGAAATTTCAGAGTAAATGAACATTCTCCTAATATTTATGCAGTTGATTTGGTCATTTTATGGGGAGAAAACATGGATTTGAGAATCTTATATGTATCAGTTGATATGCTAGTAGTAATATGCTGATGAAATAGAATGTGTATGCTCAAGTTGGAAGGAAAAAACAAATTCAATGAGATGGGAGAACCAGCAAACAAAAATTTGCAGTTGCAGGAAATGATGTGTGGTTTGTATACTGTAGAGCATACGTCACCCAAAAAGGCACATAACTCAGCCATCCAGGGGACGCTCCCAGAGGGAACAAGGACTAGTTCTTAGATGTATCTCAGAGCATAAGATACTGAAGGGGATACAGGGATGTGATGGGTAGAGTCAGGAAAATCCACATGTGTTTAGTGAGAAAAGTGAAACATGTCATTTCAGCTCTTTTGGAGTGAGAGAGAGAGCTGTGAGGAAATTGGAAATCAAAAACTCTAAAGTTCCAGAGCGAAGTCATGGATTGTTCAGATCACAACATTGTGTTAAAATTTTGACTTTTTTTTTTTTTTCCTGAAAGAGATGACTGGCTGTTCAGCATTCCACCTTAGCAGAATCTGGAAAATGACAGAGGTAGAAATAGGGAAAGCTATGTTTAAGACTTTTGCAGAAATTCAAGTAAGAAGCAATAAGGATCTATAGTAAGTCAAAGTAGAATAGAGAAGAGCAAGTCAAAATGATCTATTAAAGAAATAGAGTTGAAAGACTTTGGTATCAGGCTTGGTTCAGAGTAAGTAGGAGCTGAGAGCATAGGATGACTTCCTTGTTGTTATTTTAGGAACTAGGACAATGGAGGCAAGAAGCAGAGGTGATAGGGAGGTTGAACTAAATATTGGAATGTGTGTGACAGTGCTGAGTGTATGTACAGTCAGTACTGAACTGTATCTGTGGGCTGGAGCTTGGGAGACAGATAATTCTGTTAGCGGCCATAGATGTGAATATACTGTGTCCTAGAGGCTGTGGCTGGGTGTATATATAGTGTGAGATGTATTAGAGAGGCATCATGAAAGATGACTATTGTAACATGGCCATTGGTTTGCAAATTAATATCTAATTGTAGCAGGCAGACAAATGATAAAGCACTTTTTTTTTATAACAAATTTTTGGTTAATACCACTGAAAATGTATGCATAGGAATAGGAGGAAGTAGCCTAAGAGCACTCCCTAGTGGCTGTCCTAGGCAACCAAATGAATGTTCAAAACATGAAGACAACATAAAAACTGTAAGAAAAAAATGTATAAATCTACATAGGCATGCCCATATATAGCATAATGAAGTTTTAATCCATTAGATTTTTTTGCGACTTACATTTTAAAAATATCTTACTATAGAGGAAATTTGAGTTTCATTAGTCAGATGCAATGATCTCCCATAGTGTGAAGCTGACTCTATCAAGAGTGAAACATAGGGCTAAACGTGTTATGCCGTGTCTTTGATGTCTTTGTAGGATATAATGAAAGATGAATGCTCGATGCTGAAGTTGCAGCTGAAAGAGAAGGATGAGCTCATCTTTCAACTTCAGGAGGAGCTGGTAAGTGATAGCAATATTGGGCCCACAAGGTATTCTTTCTTTGTAGGTTTATTGTTGTAAGATGTTTGTTTGTTTATTTTATTCATTTTTATTTGTGAGGCAGAGAGAGAGAGAGTCAATAAAATGAAAACATAGGTTCCCATCTTCTAGTTCAATTCTCCCAAATGCCCGCGACAGCCAGGGCTGTGCCAGGCTGAAGCCAGAAGCTGGGAACTGAACCCCAGTCTCTGCTATGGGTGGCAGGATCCTAAGGACTTGAGCTTTCACTTGCTGTCTCCTTGGTTGTATTTGAGCAGGAAGCTGGAGATAGGAGCTGGAAACAGGGTTTGAACTCAGGTAAGCAAAGTAGGATGCGTGCAGCTTAACCTCTAGGCTAAATGCCAACCTGCCGACTGTTATTTGTTAACACTAATATTATTAACTGCTTACTCTGCTGTCATGATTTTGCCTGATTATCAGTTTTGTAATGCTTCAACAATGAAAACTTTAGATATTTGAAAAGCTGAAAAGCAGACTGTTTTATAATATGTATGGAAATTTACATAATTCCAGAAAGAGATCTCTGAATCTGGGTTATACGTTTAAGTTGTATCTTGTATTATGTTTTTGTAGTAGATGTTTTAACTCCATACTGTTATACCTGGAGATAAAATCATATAATATGAAGCTAAGTACTCACCAATGTTGCCAAAAAATCCAGAATTTTTGTTATTTTCATAAATGACAAAACAAACTTCATATACCATCAAACTTCTGATAATTAAAATATTAGTGAGACATCGAACTTATTTTACTGAGTATTTACAACTGACAATGTTTTCACTGAAACTTGACCTTTATTTAGGCTTGTTCTATTATTGGGTTGACATTGGTCACATGAGGATATTATTGTGATTCAGACCTATAAAGCAGTATTTAAAATAGCAATAGTGAGGAGCTGGCTTTGTGGCGCAGTAGGTTAAGTCACTGCTTGACACACCAGCATCCACACATCAGACTGCCTATTCAAGTCCCAGCTACTCCTTTCCCCATTCAGCTTCTTGGATCCTAGTGCTTGGGCCCGTGACACCCATGTAGAACATGTAAATGGAGTTCCTGGCTCCTAGTTTTGGCTTGGCTCAGCCATCCATTTGTGTCCTTATTGAGAGTAAACCAGCAGATGGAAGATCTCTCTTTTTCTATCTGTTGCTCTTTCAAATAAATATTTTTTTAAATAAATAGCAGTTGTGGGGCAGCCGTTTGGGATAGCAGCTAAATTGCTGCCTGGGATGTTCACATCCCATTTGGGAGGGCCTGGATTTGAGTCCCAGATCTGTTAATTCTAGCTCTGTGGGAAGAAGCAGACAATGGCTGAGCTAGCTGAGTCCCTGCCATCCATGTGGGAGAACTGGATGAAATTCCTGTCTCCTTACTTTCGGTCTGGCCCAGCCCCAGTTGTTATGGGCATTTGGGGAGCAAGCCAGGTGAGAAGTGTTTCTCCATCTCTCTCTATTTCTGCCTTTCAAATAAAATAAATTAGTTAAAAGCATTATTAATATTTCAACAAAAGGAAGCTATGTACATTACTGTAAATACTGTCCCTATATTACATATTCTATATAAATGCATGCTTAAATATAAAATGTATTATATAATGAAAACAGTTATATTTAAAATGTTCTTATGTCTTATGTACACAAACATGTGGCCTACAAACATAGCTTTGAGTTGAATGAATATAATGTGCAGATACTTATTAAAGAATGGATAGAATCAGAAGTTTTAACATAGCAGTTATCTAGCCATTCACTTTGCCAGAGTGCTCATTTTGGGTAATTAACTCAGACAGAAGTATTGCTTTTCACCTTTAACATTAGTTGTGATCGTGTTTAAAATAAAGCATATAAGAAATTGGCTTTTCATTTGTTGAATGAAATGAGAAAGAAAATATTGTGTCCAGAGCTAATGGGACATAGCTGTAATTAAAGGAATTCTCTCTCAACCAGTCCTGTGTGACTGACTTAATGCAGTAAAGCACAATGTGTGTGGATTCTTGCTTGTCTTTATAGTTGAATTTCCCAAATTGGGTGGTTGGTCTCTAAAATTTTCCAGATGCCATTTTAATCTTATGTATTTTGTATAATCATCTTTGATATTTCAACAAAGGAAAAAGATACCTTTTGGCAACATTGTTTAGTTAGTTAAAGAGCACTGTAGCTAAGAAGGAAGTGTGTAAGTGAGGACTCAACAATTTGAGGGAGAAGACGCATTGTTTAAAAAGCATCATTAAAATAGGATTTGATTTGGCGCCTGTATGAGGGGTAGCAATCACATGGATTGATACAAATCACTAAGGTCCCTGGAAAAATTTGGTCCTAGAATTTCCTAATCTGGATAATAAGTAAACTGTGGTGTTTTGATGAGATGAAGATCAAGCTTTACATTTATACTTAACCTACTGAGATTTGAAAATTTCAAGCAATTTTAGAAACCAGTTTAGCTGTTCCCTGTGATAAAACAGATTTATAATCCTCTAATGTGGAATAATTTATTTTTCTGTTCTATGTGTCATGGATTCTGCATTTTTTTAACCACTGCTAGTATCATAAGCAACTTAATATACTTGTATATTGTTGAACAAATTTAGATGTTATACCAAAAAAGACCTTATACTCAATAGGTGAGAAAATTTTATTTTTTTAAATTATTGATTCACTTATTTGGCCTTACAGTGATAGTTTAGGAATTATAAATGATAGGCAGTGGTAGGGTGTACCTATTTTAAAGTGTGAGTTTTTCAGCTGCTGCTTTGTGTTTAGGGCAAAGTTTCTCAACAGTGGGACTACTGAACCTTTAAGTGTTGTGCTGTGTGTTGTGAGAATTTTAGCAGCATCTCTGAAGGTGCTGTCTGGAAACCAGGAGCACCCTCTAGATATTACCAAATGTTCTCTGGGTGCAAAATTGCCCTTTTTTGAGAAACATTGCTCTAAGTGAAATTATAGTGCCCAGTGAAATAGTGTATTATAACATAAATGTCTACTTATAGACACTCACAAAAAAGTAAAAGTCCTGCCGAAAGGATAGAGCTTCCCTTGGACTGTTGCATGTCTGTTTACTTAGTGTCTTGGTTGACTTGGACTCTGATAGCAAACTCTCTCATACTGAGTGGATTAACCGGTAGAAAGTTAACTTCTCACGGTTCTGAAGGCTGTGTACCTGAGATCACCGTGCCAGTGTGGTTGAGGTCTGGTGAGAGCTGTCTCCCTCTTGCAGATGGTCATCTTCTCACTGTGTGCCCACGATAGAGAGAAAAATAGCAAGTTCTTTAGAGTCTCCTTTTAAAGGGCACTAACTCATCCTGAGGGTCCTAACCTAGTGACCTTCTCAAAACCCAAACATCTCTCAAAGGCCCATCTCTAAATACCATCTCAAGCAGGATTAGGGCTTCCATATGTGAACTGGAGGTGGGGAGCATAATTCAGTTCACAGCACATGCTCTTTGTTTTTTATGCCTATTTCATATTAGTACAGATGTGGCTAATTAAGGGTTTCTGTTATATTTCTTTCTCAACAGCCAAATGCACACTTCAAATATTCTTTTTCTAGTCTGAGTTCAGAATTATTATTTTGGTTCAACTTTTTTGCTTGCTGGGTTGGTAGATTTCACAAAGCATAAATATGCGACAAATTCAAAAAAGTCTTGATCTTATATTGTCTGGGCAAACTGTACACATTAATTACTGAATTCCTAACATGACTGACTTTGAATTTTCTCCTGTTTTCTTTACAAAAGACAGCAATCCATTTGTACTCATAGAAACAATTTCATGAAATCTGACATTATAATCTCTGAAATTTACATGTGTCACTTACCTTGGTGAGCATTAATGACTTTCAACAGATAGGAGGGAAGTATTGTTATATTCTTAAAATTGTGTCTTTGGAATACATGAAATCTATTTATATTAATAACAAAAGTTAATCATTTTAAGTTATTTTATGATGTCCACTGGGATGTTAAATATTAGAGTATCAGACTGTTCTAGGATTTTAGAAATTGGAGAAAACAAGAAATATCCTCTGTAGCCAGGTGTTTGTGGTATGGTAAACAGAATGGATCAGATTCACAGCATGAGCCATCTACTCCCTACTGGTTTATAATAGAACAAAATTTCTTCTGCACTGCTACAAGATTCAGGAAGCACTGAGTAATCTTACCTGTGTGGCATGAGCTACATAAATAGTATTTGTTATGTTGAAAATAAATTATAAATTGTATTGGTCTTATAAAATGTGTTTGGCAAAAAAATTGAAATAAACTAAGCACCATTTAAAATTACCTTTTCAAGTAGACTCCACTCCAGTCAAATGAGGCATTTGAAATATTTTAACTTTCCTCAGTCTTCCATCTCCTAGAAATGTATATAACATTTGCTGAACTTGTCTAGGGCTTTTAGTGATTTCAATAGTTTGTTTTCCTTTGAAAAAATTTCTTTTAAGAATATTGATGACTTGTTATTACAAATCCCTAGCCACCGTATTGTCCATTTAGATTTAAAATATGTATTCTTTAGGTTCATTACAAATTAGTCTTTCCTTTCATTTCCTCTTTTTCCATTTTATGAGCTCTGCTGATTCATTTATGATTTGGTTAGAATCTTTTCCATAGTGTTTCCTTCAGATATAGATCAATTATGTATTCTCTGGACCTTCAAATATTTCTTTCCCTGATGGATTGAACTGTATGCCTCCAAAATTCATATGTTGAAGCCCTATTCAACAAGGTTGACTGTATTTGAAGGTAGGATTTACATGCGGTAATTGAGGTTAAATGCAGGGTCTTAATCTGATAGGATTGCTGGCTTTATAAAAAGAGGAAGATATTTCTGTCTTTCTCCTCCTCTTCCCCTTTTTCCCCCAATCTATCTCTCCCCCCTCTTCACCTCTTCTCCCCACCTCACCCTTCATCTCTACCACCCAGCATGCATGGGACAAAAACCTTATGAGTATGGAGAGTACCC